ACTCCGCACTAAGGTCATAAATGGCCCTGGAACACGTCTGAGGAGTCTTGGAGAAAAGACAAAGTACTAGAGACTGTGTGCATACAGTTCCAATTTTGCAAAAAACCAGAAAAATACAGATAGCCTTTCTCTCAGAGATTCCCAAACAAATGATTTGGAAGAAACAATGTCACCACTAATAGCTAGCACAGATTCACACAAAACTAGACCAAATTTACTGCCTCTTTTGAAAGGGTCACTTGCCTGATACATCTGGGGAACCCTGCAGATGTCAAGATTCAAGGAATGTTTCCAGGGGCTTGTGGTATCACTCTGTCCCGGGACCCAGACTTATTCATTAAAAATGTTTTAATTGACATGTGAATCATACAGCAAAATCTACCCTTTTAAATTACATAATTCAGGATTTTTAGTTTATTTACCAAGTTGCATCACCACTAATTCCAGATGTCCTGTTCATTTTTATCAGTGACCCAGATGATGTCACAGAGAGCTTGCAAAATCAAATCTGATAGCTGACACTTTGTCCCTAGGGAAAGAGCCTGGCACCCAGGGAGGGTTTGGGCACCTGCTGGCAGAGGAAGGGAAGGCGGGATGAGATTCTTAACTGGTTCCACAATTAGGGGACACCGAGCCACGGTCATGGCCATTGGTAGGACAGAAGCAGCAAGAGCTGCTGGAGGTTCGAATCACCCGGCAGTGTCCCAGATGTGGTCCGACTGCACCACCTGGGGACCCAGGGAGGGTGTGGCATGTGGAAGTGTGGGACAGCTCGCTCTCCTGCTCCTCGCCCAGCAGGGCCATCTGACACTAGGTGGATGACCACGGCATTCTTTTCTTCTTCCTTCCAAATGTGCTTTGCACATAGAGTAAATGAACCATTCTGAGACCGCACTTAATGAAACAGATTAATTTGGAGAATGGCTCTCTTATCTCCCCGGCTGCTAGGGCAGTGTGGGATGGAACGAGATGCCCGCATCAGCTGGTCCGCTCTGTCAGGACGCTGGGCTCTTGGAGCGCGTGGTGTCGACAGAGACTTGTAACACCCTGGGCCGGGCCCATCCGGAACCAGGAGCTCCGGCTTTTCCCTTCCATTTAGTTCAGTTGGGGGTGGTGGCTGCTGTGCGCTCCACCCTTCTGGTGCTGTTTCTAGGGAGCTTTGCGGGGGGACTTCTGGGGGGTGGTGGCAATCCCTGGCTCCCACACCTGTTCGGCTGTAGCAACTTTCACACTTCTCCCACCCCCCTTCCAAATCCTTCTGTGTCTCTCGGCTAGTTCAATGCCCACCTCTTCCAGGAAGCTTTCTGCAGCCACCCCCTGCTGGCTCCTTTCTCTGAATGCTCGGATGCTACACAGTCACACACCACATTCTGATGGCTTCAGGAGAGCAGGGACCAAGGCTGACACTTCTCTGCTCTGCTCCGGAGCTCAGCATGTAGTACGGAGCGCCCTTCCATCAATCCCAGTAGGAGAGTTAAGTCCTGTTCCAACTGGGGTGTTCGCTGTGAGGCACCACCCGGATCCCCCTTTACGAATGGTGCACTCCCCCTGCCAGCTGCTGCACGTGTTGGGGCGTCTCTCAGCCCCTACAGAAACTGCCCTGGGTGATGACAGTTGCTGGCCTAAGGTTGTGGCAATTCTCTCCAATGACCAGCAGACATGGGGATATAAAGACCTGCTGCTCCTTTACTCCATCTTGGGACAGCTCTGAAGTCACCTCCCTGTAGGGTCAGAACTCCCCAGCCAGACTGCACTGCAGCTCAGCTTCTCCCTCTGCCCCATCCTGCTCCCTTCCCTTCCCGTCTACAGCTATTGATCCAAAGGAGGCACCTCAGTAAGTGCCCTGCCCACTAATCTCCAACCCAGAGTCTGCTTCCCAGGGAACAGAGACTCCGACGGGTTGTTCGTTGCCTCAGCTTGTTCACTCTGCAAAATGGAGCAGGGTGGGGGAGGAGTCGAGAGAATCCTGCACCCCCAGCAGGTGAGCACTCACTCAAGGTCAACACAGGCAGTGGGTCAGCAGCATGGGCAGGACTCAGCCCTCTGGGAGCGTGCTCCTCTGCCTGCACCTGCTGGGTGGGTAGCTTGGGGCGGGAGGGGAACCCTCTGCAGGCCCCCCTCCAGCCTGCAGGGCTCTGGGGACAGAGAGCACCCGAGGCATACTGCTCTCTGAGGAATGCTGAAATACTCATTTAGTACATTCATATCATGAAATGCATCATTTTGTCTGAAATCAAACATCTTTGAGTGGTTTCCCAAAAGAAACAAGTGGTTACTAGTTCTTTAAGTTTTGAGAACATTTTTCAGGAAAACAACCTATGAACTGGTCAGGAGCTTCACCTTTTCCTGCAAAACGAGGAGAAGACATTCACAGGTCAACTTTAATCACACAGCCCCTGGGACCAGCCCTTGGAGTGTGGGAGCAGAGTCGGCAGACGGCTACACTGGAGGGAGCCTTGCCTGCCTGGGCAGTTGATCCTGGAGGGAATGCAAAGCAAAGCTCCCTGGGCTCACAAGCGAGATCCCACGTGGCAGCCCACCCTCGCTGCAGGCATCTCCCCACCCCTCCCTTTACAGTGTTTCCCATGTACCTCGGACTCAAGAGTGGGCCAGCGCTAAGCCCGTTTCCAGGGGCCTTACAAGGATTAGATCGTTCAAGCCTTCCACTTAGTAGACCCACTTTACAGAAGAGGAAATAGGGGCATGAAGCAATCTGCCCAGGTCACAGAGTTAGGGAATGGGGGAGGCAGAATTCACATTCAGGGTCTAATTCCAGGGCATGTATCTCTGACTTCAACAACTGGGACGAAAAGCAGTGAGGGCACGCCCAGCCTGGCGTCCAGCCGGAGCTGGGCTATGGTGCAGACTTCCTGCTCCAGGCTACAAGGCACCACACAATCCGGCTTCAGCGACCAAGACGTGTTTCTTCCTTGAGCCCATCTTTGGTCCTAGCTGAACACCGTCTTCTCCCACTCCCAGCTAGCTTCCTCTGGTTCGGGTCCCTATGAATGCGAGGCAGCTCTCCCTTAGCCTCCATGTAAATCTTTCATGAGCTTATTGGTGTGAATGTTCTTTCCCTGCAGCTTCCTCTTCCCTGGCCCCGTCCCGTTAGCCTCTCCTCCTGGGACATACTTTCCATCCCTTTAATCATCTTTATTGCCTTGCTCTGGACCCTGTCCCGGGTCCACATCCTTTGCGGGGTGCGCTGACCTAACCGGGCATCTGTTAACACGAGCGTGGCTCAGCGGAAGGTCAGCTTCCCAGTGTGCGCATGTCACGCTCCTCTTCCTATATCCCTGGGTCATGCTGCTTTCCGGAGGCCTGCTGCTGTCCAGGGGGTGCTTGCTGGGCCAGGCGGCCTGGCCCACAAGCCAAGGTGTGGCCGACCTGGATGCAAGGCGGCAGCCTGCCACTGCTCCTGGGTCAGGGGGTGACTTTGCACTCAAAGCTCGGGGACTCCCCACACCTCCAGACACAGACTCGGGAGCAGGGGGCAGGGGAGGAGGGACACCCAGCCTCTGCTCTCCCTGACTCTTCCCCAGTCCCCCGAGAGCCCCATTCCCCTCTTAGAGGGGTGCTGCCTACTTCTTCTGTCTGCCAGGTGCCCAGAAATGAGGAGTTAGCCTCTGTGAAGCAGCATAGCACCGAGGTGGGGCACAGAGCCATCACTGTACCCTTGTCAAGCCTGGCCCGGGGCTTGGTCCAACTCTCCTGGTTCAGTTTCCCCTTTTCCTGCTGCTACATAACGTGCCCGGTGGTTCTGGTTTCTAAGCCAGGACGGCCTTCCTTCTAGTTAGCGGTATGGTTACTGTCCCCTGGGAAGGCCGCAGACCTGCTAAATCCACCAGCTGATGACAAGGAGTTCTGGATGCCCTGTCCTCCAGCCAACCCGAGCTGTGGCCACCACCCAGCACTCCTTGCTCAGGGCCCACATGTGGAGGGAAGGCCCAGGGACCCCGGTCAGCCACAGCCCTAGTTTCAAGGGGCAGCAGGAGAACATGTACCTCTGCTTTCTAAGCAAGGGATGTCGCCTGGACTGTTCCTTGGCTCTCTGAGAATATTCTCTGTTCGTTAAAGGTAAAACCACAGGCCATCACTTTGCTCTAAGAAGAAATTCCCTATAGAGGCACATGCCTCATTTTAATTCTCAGGCAGAAGCCTTTTTTCTCTTTCCTTCTTTCCTGCCTCCTTCCCTTCCTTCTTCTTCTTCTTCTTTTTTATATTTCCAACCAGAAATAACTGATGCATATCCAAACAAAAAATACACTCTAACCCTGCTTTATTACGAATGTCCACAGACTACAAACATCGCTCTGTACCTGGAGTTTTCCACATGAAATATACTAGGAGGACCTTTCCATGCAAGAAAGGCTCTAAGGGAATGAAGGCAGGTCTTCCCGGGACACCCAGCCTCAGCTGCTCGTGTATCCAGAGCTGTCTCGGGGCGCTTTTTCTGGCCCCTTGCTATTACCCAGCATGCTGAACTGTGGGGAGACCCTGGGTTCTGCCCTAGTTTAAGTGAGCTCCTCCAGGCACTGGAGAGCAGGTGCACGTGCGGCTGCTGACCTGTGTTTCGCCTGTCACTGCAGAGCCGAGCACGGCCAGGGACGACTCTGCAGTGACTAGGGAAGAGCAGGAGACACAGATACCCTTGGAATCGCGAGCTCTGGAGCCTCCTGGAGGCCATGTTTCAAAACACATGTCAGCTGGGACCTAATCCCTTGAGGACTGCGGTCCTAGCGGCAAGTGGAAAGAGCCTTTCTCTTTCTGAGCTGTGGAACCTGCACCCTGTCCCTGGACTCCTGAAGGGATCCATTCCCTAGGCCAGTCCCGAGAAGTGGGGCTACTTACTGCTTCCCAACTGGTACCCGACCCCACTGCTTCATCTCATAGGTAACAGTGGATCCCTGGGGAAAGCAAAACCCTGGCCAGAACTGACGGAGCTACAGATTGCTGGCCAAGAACAGAAAACCCGAAGCTCTCGACGGAGTCTCTCCTACCTCCGGTCATTTCTCCGCCGCCGGAACAGCTTCTTGGTGTGGGCGATCTCCACTTCGTGGGGCATTGGGTGGTAGCCCTGTGTGGTGTGGGAGGAAGGGGGATCGTGAGTAACTTGGGAAAGAGAGCAAAGACCTTCTTGCACGTAACTATTGATGATAACTTCTATGACCAAAAGAAACTGGGAGTTTGGAAAGACTAGACTCTGACCTCCAAATCCAGACTGAAAAATGGAAAATGGGAGGGTGAATCAATTTCCCACCAGGCAATGATGCTGGAATTACAGAACCAAAGAACAGTGAGGAGACAAAGGGGACCTTAGAATGTGTCATATCCAGTCACTCAAATTCCAGATGACGACACTCAGGGCTAGAGGGGTGAATGAACCCATTCAAGGTCTTGCAGAGATTTAGCAACGGAGCTGGGACCAGATCCCGGATTCATGGCTGTACGACCAAGGACAAGTTACTCTTTGAACACTCATGACTTTTCTAAGCTTCCTGACACAGTGGGAATGTCAGTGTCTTCTCTGGGCTGTTGAGGGGACCAAGGAGATGCAGCCCCTTGCAAACTCTGAGCCTCCTGCAGATGCAGTGTTAGGACCCCGGCTGCCTCACCCTGGTCCAGGATGGCCTGTGCAATTCTGCCCCAAGACCCTCATTCCTCACACTCCTGGGGAGTGTTTAGGGGAAACATGACATAGTTCAATGCTTTTTTAAACTTTAAACTGGGGAAAATTCCAAGAATGGTCTTTTGTATATTGTCATCGGGACAACAACTATACACCTATGTCAAGGTTGGAGATGGACCCTCTGCTTATAACACAAGGCTGATCCTGCCAATGCCAAGCCCCAGGCAGAATTATATGCCGAAGCTGGGCTGATGGGCAGCTCTGTTTTTAGCATCGCCCTCCTCCCAGCAGAAAGGTGTGTTCTGGTGGGACATGGGGGTGAGCACTGTCATCACATTATGGGCAGTCTGTGAGGGTGAGTGGGCAGGGGGGTGGTGGAGGGGACCCTAGCCTGGAAGGCTGGAAGGAGGGGGTGGTTTGACTTGGGCCTAGGATACCTGTGTACAGGTCCTGATGCAGTCTACAGCCTGCATGTGAC